AAAAAGAAAAGATTTACGCTAAAATAAATATCGTATCACTAAAATAAAGTGGGCTAAAAATTAAATATTTGTTAGAATATAACCAAACACATTTTTTCCCACAAGTTTTTTTATCATGCCATGAATCTTCCTTTTTTAAAACGAAATAGCACACCACTGATGGATAATAAAAAATTGATGATAATTAATGTTCACAATTACTTTAAGGGGGATAAATCTATAAGGAAAAGCCTTCAGAAGCTACTATTACACAAGCGGGTTGCTGAGATATTGGGTGTATCTGAGGGTATAATTGGAAGTGTTGTATCAGATTAAAACAGCCGTGGTAATAATACATTTATACCACACAAAGTTCTTGGACAACCTATATTAAAACCTAATGAAAATGTAGCTGAGCTTTTGCATATGAAGGTTCTAAGTGCCAATAAAGCGGGTGAACACCTTTTCACACCTATTCTAAGATAATTTTTTTCTGAACAAGGATATACCATTTCTAAATAGAAGTTCCTTCGGGTATTACATCATTTGGGATATTATTTTGGCCAGGGAGAGCGAAGAAACATCCTTCACGAATCACCAAATAATGTTGCATTTCGTTGCTGTTATCTTTATTATAGGTTTACTAATTTGGAAGGTAAAATGATGTTCCATGCCACCCAGAGGTTTTCCTTGATGAGTCATATTGCCATTTGCATCACACTTCACAAAATACATAGGTTCCCTATCAAGGTGTTATTTTATCACCTAGGTATGGACCGTTAGTAGTAATTTTTGATGCAATTATAGTATTTCAAAATAGGTCCTCCAATAAACTGCATGGTAAACTTGTTCTGAACTCTGTTCATATTTGGGATCCAAAAATTAAACCTCCAAGAAATAGAGGTCAGAAAAGAAACAATGCTGAAGAATGAGACAATATTTCTGATGTCATTAAGGATACCAATATCATTCCAAACCAGGTAGATTATCACAGAAACTTAAATGCAGAAATATTTGAGAATCTTTTTACAACTCTGTGTAAAAATCTTCATAAAAAATATGGGTCAGTAATCATCCATATGGATGGAGCTAGTTACCATAAACGGTGAGTAGAAAATATTCTGATTTCAAGTGTAAAAAAACAAGAAATAGTTGACTGGTTAAATGCACATGATATTTCTTTTTCTGGTGAATTAAGAAAACTGGAACTTTTGAAACTAGTGCAAATGAATAAGGAAAAGGTTCCTTTTTCTTGTGTTAAAATAGTAGAATAGTATGAATATAAAATTAATTTTACCCTCCATATCATTGTGAACTTCAACTTATCGAAGGTGTTTGGTCAGTAGTAAAAGGTGAAGTTGCACGTTCGGGCTAATATTCAAACCTTTTATCTATCTGAAATAAACTATTGGATGCATTTAAACACAAAATTACTTTACAAGTTATTATTGAGCTTTGGAGAAAAGCGTTAAACAACGCTAAGGAATATTTTGCATCTGACGAAAATGCATAATTAATTAATGATGAATTTGATAATTATAGTAATTTCGATAATGATCACGTGATTTGATTCAATTTCTACGTTTTTATACTTCCCGATACATATTAATATTATTTAAATAATAAAAAAAAAGTTTAATTAATAAAATTTTTTTTATTGGTAGTTTTTTTCAGTGTACAAATATTTTTGCACTGGATCATAATAATTTAAAAATTTTAATGATAATCACAAGTCAAATGATAATCATTCGGAATACATGCTGATTTACTACTTTTTAGTTATCTGATAATAATTAGTTACAATTAGCACGTATTACAAATCAGCAACTAATTAGTTTTTTTACCAAATGATATAAAATTATTCCTGAATAATATCAAATGCTTCGATCGAGTAATCCAATTTATTATTTTTAGGTATTTCTTTATTATTATGGCAAATGTTATTCATTACATATGAAAATGTCTATTAATTAGAATAACTGCCATGTAATTGACAGGGTTTCTTACTCCTACGGTAAAATTACTGATGATAAATCTGCAATAAATATTATGAACTGATATTATACAATCTCTACTATCTTTAGTGATCCTGTAAAAAGTTTTTTCTCACAGTTTAACATTACAGTTGTGATTATCATTAGTTTTAATTCAGAAATAAAATCTTGTTTGTTATCTCTGAATTGGTAAATACTATTTAACAAAAACCAAATGATAGATTTTTATACCATCTGAAAGATTAATTTTATGTTCGAAATAATATTAGGCCTGTCCTGCAAATGTATTCACAACATTATTATTTTGAATAAATTTTGCCAAAATATGTGAATTCTTTGTGTATCAAGACGTTAAAGTTGACCCAAAAATTTTAACACCAATATGGATATGGCTAAATTGGTTTACATTAAGCAAAATAACAATTGGTCAAATTGATTCTCTATTTATTCCACTTCTAGCCAAATCAGCAACTAATACGAAATTCAGTTTATTTGCTTCATATGTGTTGTTGTAGTAATCTACAAGCATTTTGTAAACTTTTCTTAGTAGAGTTACATTTAATTTAGTAAGCATGACTTCAGAAAATGGCTCTCTATCTGTTATTGTATCATCAATGTTGAGATGATAAATATTCAAGAATTGAAGCAACTCATCGAATTCAAATTCATCTTAAGTTACTAAACTCGCATAGTTGATCACAATTTGACCAAATTCAAACATTCTGCTAGTTTTGAATCATCTATCTGATTTGAAATCAAATTATTTAATCATTAATTCTGCATTATTACATGTAATAATTCTAGCTTAATATTACGACCACTATTAGGTAAAGACTCTAAAACAAATGTTAACAATTTATTAATATTATAACTTTGTTTAGAAAAAAATCAGCATGTAGCTACTTACCTAATATTCCGTTCATTCTCTTAAACAAATAATACCAGAACGAGTAAAGTAGACCATAATCCTAGCAGCATTCTGCAATATGAAAGGAGAGATAAATATTCAGTGTTATCATAGTTGGACTATAATTCTCTTCCACTAAATGAGCAATCATCAGCAACTGGGAGTGGGCTTCATCTAATGCATTATTATTAATAATGCGTATTATTAATAAAAAACAGGCTTGAACAAAATTTGTCAAAATTCTCTGATTATGTTCGTCTAAAAGATTTCACATAATCAGTATCGCATAAATCATTATGAACATTTTCCACTGGTCAGCTATATATTTTGAGAATCTTCACTAGTTGCTATTTTATAAGGTATTCTTTTCATGTTCACAGGTAATTTGAACTGTTTTACCTTATTTTCTATTTCTTCAAACTAAGATTTTGTAATTTTGCCACTATCAATTTACAGCCTTTTTACTATCTATTAGGCTATACTGAGAAACAAACAGTATATTAAATCAACTATTAAATATCTGATAGGATTATAATAAGGCAAACGTAATATTTTAGACTATCTAATTAAGGTAAATGAAATTTATTGCCTTCTTTCTTCCTTTGTTTTACAATGCAACTAAGACATTGCATTTTCTAGGTGTTCTTCTAAATTTCTTTGTCTAAACCAATTGTCTATATCATCAAAGCTACCAAAATTAGATCTTTTCTCTTTATTACTACTAGCTATCTTATAACATCTGTAATAAGCTGTAACTGCTGATATGTGCTCACATAGTTTTCTGGCAGTAGAATATCATTTGAGTAGCAAATGACAGCTAACTGAATTCTCTTTTCATTAGGAAACTTGATCAAAACTAGCAAGTTGTATCCATCCCATAATTCTAGTAATTCATCTATAATTGGAGCTAGAAAATGGTTAACGATGCTTTTTCGATTTTTTTAGATTCCAGTAAAAGGCCAAGAGTTAATATATTTTCCTTTTTAAATCTTATATCATATGAAAGGTTACAAATTACTCCTTAAATTATACCAGTGGTATATATATAAGATTCAAAAGATTAAAATTAATCAATGTTAATTATGATTTCCAAATGAGAATCTGCAGTCTCTAGTGTAAAAAACTAAAAAGTTTAATCTTCAAGAAAAGAAGGAAATGTTCTCCAGATTCTTCCTTCACATACATCAGATATTAATTTGTTTACCATATTCCAATTTGTCTATTTTAAAAGTTGCTGCTTAAATCCCAGACGTTGATACATAGTCGCCAATTGGTCTTTCAAGCTAGATAGGGAAAATACAAGCTTTAGACGCCAAATGTGTCCTTTCACAGTCAAAACTTTTTTAATATTTTCATTCTGCAAGCTTCACGTCGATTTCACATTAGATGCATTAGAAACTCAATATGATTACATTTAAATTTGTTTTGTCTATTATTTTCTATATTATGTAATTTGTTGCAGTTAGGACACACTGCAAATACTTTGTCTTTCCTTTGATTTCAAGCAATTTTCTTGCTATGTATGCTAAAGTAGGGAATTTTGTAAAGCTCCTTAAATTGGTATTAAGTAAAACAATACAAAAAAATTTGATTAATGAATCAATTGCTATGTCAGAAAGGCGAAATCTTTCTTGATATTTAAAATTCAAAGAAAATCCACAGATCGTTAAAGTTAGCAGACGTGTTGATATGTTCAGAATCTGAATTGGTATCAATATCATTTAAATTTGAAGCAGAAAAATAATCATAAGGAACCCTGTCATTCTTATTTAAATAAAATTCTTCATTATCAATTGGCTCTTCTTCTTTGAGTATTAGTCTTTTATCATCAGCCGATTGATAGATCCGTTCTTCTTCACTTGAAGAATTAAATAATTGATCATATTCTTTATCCTGGTTTATTTCAAAAATATCCATATTATGAAACTGAACATGTCTTTTTCTAGATCTTGGTTTCTCTGATTTTCAGTTTTTCCTTTATTATCATCATTATTAGATAAATCAGACGAAGATAAACTAGAGGTTGATAGAGCCTTTTTCTAAGAAAACCCTGGTGATTTTACATTTCAAAGTGTTTTCACAACTCAGATTTTTTCAAATTTTATGCTTTTTAACAGGTTGATTTTGTCTGACGAGATGATTTTTAAGTTATTCTTCTAATTTAATATGCCTTTTTTTCATTCTTGGGTCGACCTCTTTACCATTACATTTCTCACAGTTACATTTAACCAGTTGTCTTGATGTTGCCAATTTTACTAGTTGATTTTTTTATTTGAGTTTGTTTATTAGAGCTAGCTTCTTACTGTATGTTAGGCATTCTTAATATGACAATATCGATATCATTTAAAACAAATCAAGATTTATAAGAAAAAAGAATTTTTATTAATGTGCTTTAATTTAATTACAAATTTTTATTAAACTTTTCAAATTAGTACATTAAATGGGACCTTTGCAATAAAAAAGGGGGAAACGGCCAGAAAAATCAATTTTACTTTTATATGCCAAATATAATTTTTAGGTCAAAATATGTTCAGATTTAGCATTAACTCATTTTTTATTTTTCCAGTCATTTCCCCCTTTTCTATTGCAAAAGTCCCAAATAAACTACAGATTATAAAGTAAAATTATTATAAAAAAAAATAAAAAAAAAGTAAAATTATCATCAATCAATCAATCAATCAAAATAAAAGTCAAATCAATTAAACCATTATTTTTGGATCTTTTCTCTCTAAGATTTTTCTTATATAATAACATATACTCAACTAAAATACACACTAAAATTTATCAAACTAACACGTTGTTAACGTTACTCTTTCCGTCGAATAAGTTAACTATGATTTGAAGTCAGGGAGGCAATAGCTATGACTTAAATC